GATGCTTAAGTACGGCTAAGGATTGCTGGGGATTTTTAAGTATGGTTAAGGATGGCTTGGGGATATTTAAGTACTACAACGGAGGACTGGGAATAAGTAGTACCAGATGCTTAAGTACGGCTAAGGATTGCTGGGGATTTTTAAGTATGGTTAAGGATGGCTTGGGGATATTTAAGTACTACAACGGAGGACTGGGAATAAGTAGTACCAGACCTCTACTCCTGGACCACTACATGCGGACGATGCGGACCACCACATGATTGCCTACACCATGTAGTTAGCTGCGCGCAGAGAATATCTGTTTAGGCGGGAAAGCTCTAACGGCTCGAGCTAAAGAATTTCTCCTGGGATTTCGAGTTCGAATCAATTGTATATATATCCACGTCCAAATTTTGGAATCACTCAGACTTCGGAGACATTTGACGTGGAATAACTGGATTTACGGTGAGAATCTGTGGAAAAAACGAGAGGTAACCTACTCCCTGTGATGTTAAAGAAATTTCCTCGCTTCAACATAGCTCATACCTCGCCAAGTTAAGCATTTATTCGTACTTTCTTTGTTGTTTCATATTAGAAATATTCGAAGTTTTGAAAGGATTCCTCTGAGAGGAGATGAAAAATGCCTGATCAATGGTTAAGCTTGCAAAACTTTCGAATTTAAAGTCGCTTATTGCTGACAAAATCGACCCTGAAGGATTATCGACCGAAGACCAAGATCAGGTGGCCATAATTATCTTTCTTGAATTTCTCTTCCATATTATCATATCTATAGTTGTACCAAGCCCATCCGTATGAAAACTTTGATCGCAAAAACGTATGAGCCACCTGAGATGACGCTATATTTAGTCCGATTAACGATCTTAAGTGTTTTCGATCTTCGAACGGGGTATCATGATCAATCCATGAGGGTAAAAGAATGCACGATTGATTCCGTGAGCCTTTACCGAGTAAATTTGCTTCTCCTGCACGCTTCTCACCATGAATTTTCGATCCTTACGGTTCTGAATTAAATTGTTCATGTTGATTTCCTTATAATTTGACGCAATATCGACTTTCAGAAACCAATAGACAACTTTCTATCATAGGGAAAGACTCGTACCCAAGAAATATCACTTTGAAGCTGGTAGTCTCAGTTGTTAGGGATTGACAAGACAGGTAAAGAAGGATAAGCTTTATCTTTTTATTTGCCATTAAATTAAAAGTGCCATACATTTAAGATCCTTATAAAGTTCAATCTACTTATAACGAGAGCAGTTTCACCATGAATATCATCTACCTCAATGTATGACCAAACTTAGATCTTTGAAAATGGATCGTTAAATAATAAAAATAATCTGCGCAAGTTACTAGGTAAAAAAAATGTTTGGATGCACCTAAATTGCTGCCTGTTGTTTCAGCTTACAGCGTAAATCGGCCAATAAGTTTCAGTTTTACACTCGACAAGATGAAAAGAACTGTAAATTTCCATGAGCGCAGAGACAAAAGAACAAAAAATTAATTAAAAATAGAAAAACTGTCTTACAAGTTATTCCATATCTGGGAAAAAGTGATTCTCAATGTATTCTTTTTGCTAAAATAAAGGTTCCGAATGCAACATAAAATCAGTGAAAATTAAATTTAATATTCCTCATAAATTGATCTTTTTTCTGACACATTGAGGTTTTAAGTGCCATTATTACACTGGACATGGTGTTCCATGGTAAGCAGTTGTTATTATTTTGGTGATACTTACCAATTGATCGATCACTTAAATTTATTTTACTTTTCTCAAGCACATCAGCCTTTATACTATATAATCAGATACTTTTGATAGTGAATGTTTTTGGTCTGACCATGGTTGAATGTGAACCATGGTCAGTAGCTAAATGTAATCATGGTCAGACACCATTTAAACAATAGAGTGTTTCTGTTGAGGAACTATCGGCTGATAGTTGCCCCGCGGAAATTTGATGTTCTTAAAACAAATATGCTGGTTTTAAGAACATCAAATTTCCAAAGGGCAACTATCAGACCGATAGTTCTGAGACATAAACACTTTATTGTTTTTATTGTTCACCACTAAATTTTCTTCCGCACCTACAGCTTGTCACAAATGTCAATAATTCGCAACCATACATTGGCTAAATAATATGTTATTCCTGTCAGAATTGAAAAGTCAATGTTTTTCCGATCTGCCTAACTTTGCGGCCGTCAAACTATTCAAAACTTTTCACGGATGAATACTATCAATCCAGGTATTTTCCGCGGACGGGCACTATCCATCCGGGTATTTTCTGCAGGCGGGCACTATAGGCTGATAGTGACTCTCCACAGATGAACACTATTGCATCACGTGATCAATTTAAACCAATAAGAACCGCAGAAAATTTAGTGGTGAACTATAAGGTACCATAGTCAACCTGACGCCAGGGTGTCTTGCATTTGTATTAGCAGAAATTCTTTGGTGTTAAATTTCATTAATAGTTTTGAATGTTTTATCACTTGTGCTGACCAAACCACAGTTCAAAAACACTGTTCAAGCATTCTTCTTAGATAAAACCAATCATCACTAAGGTGAAAAGTGGAATTATGGTTTTGAGGTATTTGCTTTTTGTCAGTTAAGAACAGGAGAAAGGAAGTAAGAAATTGTTCTGTTTAGCATGCCCTAGATTATATTACTCCTGTCTTCTGGTTAATAAAAAAAAGATCAGAAACCTAGGTTTAACTTGCAACTGGGGCAAAATGTGTGTGTTTGTTTTTTTTAACTAGGAGAGGAGTGCAGACTAGTAATGTGCTTGATATGAACAGTTTTCACTAAGTTTTCACAAAACTGGTATCACAGTTTGGCCATCTTTCTGTCATCTCACTATAGACTGAGATAAAAGTTTCAGCTGACAGTGCTTTATGTAATAATTATAATAGCTAATTCAGTTTCAAATGTGTATTCACATGCTAAAAGGAAAGCAGAAATTACCAGAATAATGCCATTCAGAAAAGAAATCAAAGAGCCAGACATAACATTTGTGTCTCGTTTCCATCTTTTAATTTATCTAACTGCATATCCATAATCACATATACTTATTGATTTTTATTGTAAGTAGCCCTAGTTGTGAGCTTTTTAAAGTTGCACCCCAGACACATTTGTTGGAACATATTGCCTCCTCTGCTCCACTCAAAACGTTCATTTGGAAATTATCATTGATTGAGGAAAACAGGTGAAAGAACATCATAGATGTTGTTTGGGAGAAGTGTCCTCAATTATGTCTGGTAGTGTGGCTTCAACAGATGATTCATGTCACCAAACATAAATTGTCAAACCTTCCATTTGCATTTTTGAACATTTATTTTAATTTCATTGCTATGAATGCTGTTCTTTCAGCCAGAAAGAAATTTGTGTTTACTTGGATATAAAGTACTGTTACACAACTAGCAATTGCCTTTTTAACCTATGCTTCCTGCATTCCTGCTTTCTGCCCCTGCTTCTCAGAATTCAGCCATCTCGTCCCTTCAACTGAATGGACAGTCCCTCAAGACTAATTTTTGTATTTGAAAATTGCTCAAACATGCTTCAGTCATTCTTCTGAAGGAGTGAGAGGTTCAGAAAGGACACATTAATGCAGCTGTCCATCTGTAAGGGAATTCCAAAATCTGACAGTTGCTGTGGCAACCATTTTTGTATTAAGGGATCTTTTTCTTTTAAACAGCAAATTTAAAATGTTAATATTACTAACTGTAAACTTGAAAGTCTTTTTTCTGTTCTTGCATAAATATCTGTCAATAAAAAATTGTTCAACAATTTTGAATTAAGTTTACGAAAAGCGGCAAGAAAATTTACACAATAATACGTGTTGTTTAAAAGTTATGGAAAGGCTGTTAAGGGAGTATTCTTGAAATCCTGAATAGTTCATTCTTTTTGTGTTCGGTAAATTGAAATGGAATTGAAATAATTCAAATTTTTATCACACTGAGTCGCACCGCATCATTTGTCCATCATAGTAATGTTAGTCACTCAATGAAGGATTCTTTTCTTGTTCTTTTCTTAAAAGCATATAATCTAAGCAAATGGCTATTTGCTTGGTACCTTACACATGAACTCCACCAATACTAATTTGTTTTCTTTGCCCAATTTTCTTATCTAAGACTTCTTTTTTTTTATGTTGTAAAACTTTAAAATATTACAGAAATAGATAAACATTTAGGTGGTATTAACATCTAATAGAGAACAAACGTATGCGCAGGTTGCTTATACAAGAGTTTTTTATGTGTGCATTGGACTGGTGCACAGGACACTAACTTTTACACAACTTTTTTCACCCTACCATATCCATTTACTGCAAGAAAAAAAAAATCAAAACACCACTCCCAAGAAACCCTAAGCAAATATATTTTGCCTACCTTGTCTCTGAATAAGTGGAAAAACTTGGAATCCAAGGGAAAAGGAAACAAGTGTCATAGTTTTCCATGTGGACAAACAAATGTGCACTCTTTGATTGACTGTTGCCTAATATAACTGGACTTTGCCTTCTGCACTTAGAATGCATAGTAAAATGGACTTTTTCATGGGGCAGGATTATGTTAGTGGTAATCCCAACCTGTTAATTTGAATACTGATCAAAATACGCAAACCCCTATGCTGCAGTCTGGATGGTACAAGCAACAATCCTTTTCTTAGAATATGATTGGTACTGATTAGCAAAGTGATTGGTGAGTGCAACATACCCTAAACAATCTGATTGGTAAGAGCAGTATACCAATATCAATCTGATTGGTGCAAGCAACATACTTAGAGCAATTTGATTCCTTGAAGCCACGAAATCTGATGCAAGCGACACTACTTTCGTAAACTTTGATATTAATGTTGTCATCAAAATATTATTCGATGCTTCTTCATTTGCATTTTTAACTATCTTGATAGATTAGAAGAAAAAACAATATGACCAATTTTTAGTGGTTAGGCAGAACGGTACCTAGTTGATCACGGATAAGACAATAGACTGAGTGTTAGCCTCACATTTGATGTGTTAATGACTTGGCTTTTTTCAGCGTTTTCATACATTGTCTGGGGTGAAGTGTTGAAACACGACTGCCAGTTACCTATAGAACTATAAAACAACACAACTCAAGAAAGATGAATTAATAATTAAGTAGTAAACACAGTGTCCACCCACTCATAAACAAACAGCAGGACCCTTTTCCTTGTTTCAAATTTAAACATAAATTATTGTAAGGTACCAACTATATTTATTTGCATGAGACCTCAGTGTTCCCTGTTAAAGATACACGAGCTTTGAAAACCCCAAATTCTTAATTAACATATGAAGGTGTGTGAACAGTGACCTTGAAGGTTTTCCATACTTGCAATAACGAGCTTGGAATTTGTTGCCCCATATTTTTCATTCGTTGACCAATGAAAATTTATAGCAGTCGGTATGACTCTATTATGAGGGGTTCTCAGTTAAGCCATGTATTTAATTTTTGAAGAAGCATAATTATTTCCTGCGATTTACAAATTACTTGCGCACCGTTTATTTGGAAAGACCTCATAGAATTTTGACACTAAATACAGATAAAACGTCTTAGTTAAATACATATTTTCACTAAGCAAGAGTAATTATGAGTTAGAAGACAAATAAGAACGAAAGTAGTGGCTGGTAAAAGCAATATGTTGTTCTTAAAGCTATGGGCTTGGAGTTGGATTACACTACGGAAAATAGATGCCATATTCACCTAAAAAGTGCCACCTTCATTAGTCGCAGAGCATTGTAGGACAAAAAAATTTCAGGATTTGTTTTTGTAATTTTATAAACGTAAAAATATCTGAGTTGATCAAAATGAGAATGCATAAGCTAAGGAATTATTGCTGTATGTCATAGCTTCTCCAAGTGACAAAATTTCGCTATACACGTATTTTAGAACTAATAACTTTCTCGGAACCATTATTTACCTATGCTTCTAATCATCTGAATGGCACCAAAATGTAGGCCGGGGAAGAATGAAAACTGAATGGATGAACTTGAAATAAATTTGTATTCTAAAAACCTATTTTATTGCTAATTAAATATATTATATACCTCCTCTACCCCTTCTCCCCCCTCCCCCCCCCTCCTTGCCTCGTTTTCTGTCGTGGTAAATGTGCACATCGAATTAAATTGTTATGGGGTTTTCATCTGCAGTAACCACTGATTCAAACTAACGAAAAACTCCCATTTATGTCCTCAATACTTGTATATCGGTAGAGTGATGTAGGGGCGAGCAATTCCAAAGTTTTAACAAAAATTTACTTTGATCCATGTCTTTTCTGTTTTGTGTTGTTGCATCAATTCTTCTTTATTTAAACAAAAGTATATTGTTTTTCGTGAGCTGCATATTCTATGGTTACCAGAAATGAGCTCCAGAAGTTTCAGTTTGTTTTTTTTTTGGATGGCGATTAGCCAGTCTAAAAGACAATAAGCTCGAGCAAACTATTAGTTCTTAAAAATTACTGACGATGTCGTCTTATTCATAGGCTTGCAGAAATTCAAATTATGGAGGAAACCATTGCAAATACAAGTAGTATCGACTTGACCGTTAGTGGCAACGGACATCACACGAGAGACGTCGAGGAACTTCTTTTACAAATTGTCCAGGATATAGGAGGGGGAGGAGAACTGCCTTTGGAACTCCTAGACCGGATTGTGTGTCAACGCACAGGTCACACCATATCAACCTTGGTGGATTGTGGTGAAAGAGATGTCCTGGAATGTATACAGAGTAATCTTTCTCCTCAGAGCTCCTTGATAGTCAGCCTTGAAAACCGTTTGTTATCTGTCAAACGCGTGGAACAAATACTTAACTGCTGCGCTGAATCGGATGTATCTTTAGAAATGGTCAACAAAGGCACCACAACACTCGATCTTTCAAGGCGCTGTGTTTCATCGAATGAGCTGTTGGAAACATGCAAGCCTGCAAGAATGTTGAGGCACCTCATTCTCAACGATATCCAAATTCAGCCTGGTAGCAAGGAACCACTGGCATTTTCACTAATTGAGAGGATTAAGTGGTATTGTCCGGCTCTTAAAAAAGTAGAAACAACTGGTTGCTCCCAAGCCGTTTACGAAGAGCTTTTTCAGAATGGGAAGAATGCTCACCCAAGTGCATTTGGTGTGAAGGTGGAAGACCTTCTAGAAACAAAACCTGAGGTAAAGGAACTCCTTGATCCTTTACTTGCCAAAAGGGAAGTGGCTGATATTGCCAACAGAATAAAAGCGCTGGTTCAGGAGGGCGTTCCAGCCAACATAACCTTTGATGGCTGGTCTCTGCTACATACTGCCGTAGTTATTGGCGATAAAGACTTAGTGACCTGGCTGCTCAAAAGAAGTAGCAGTTTCAAATTTCGCCTGAAAAACTCTACTAGGCCAACAGCCTTAGAAGTTGCGATACGCTGTCACAATGAAGCTATTGTGGCAGAGCTGTTAGGCGCAACTGATGTTGTTGATCCTGCTTGGCTTGCGTGTATCTGTTTCTCAGAACAGTTTCCAAAGGTAAACGAACGTGGTGTACGTGAAAGACATCATCATGAGTGTAATCCACTTCAAGTTGCAGGGCTGTTTTTAGATGAAACTAAAACCTTGGAATTCAAGACGACGTTCCTCATCCAGATTATCATAGAATTCCAAATAATAACACCAAGGGAACTTAGAGAAAAAACGTGTTGGACGGAAGAGTACTTGGCGGAGATGCTAAAGCATTTGGTTTCTGCGGGCTGTTCGCTGAATGTACCCATTAAAGATCTTGGTAGGAAGACTCCGCTAATGTGCACAGTGTCGAGCCCAGTTTTGTTGAAGACCCTGGTAGATCTTGGAGCCGATATCCATGCCACTGACGAAATGGGTAACACAGCGTTGTTTTACGCCGTAGCTGATGCAACGGTTGAAACAAGAAACGAACACATCGAAACTACCAAACTCCTTCTGGAAAACAAGGCTGAACCAAATGTTATAAACAAACACGGACAGACCTCTATTCTATTCGATGCCTCCAAAGAAAGGTCAAACAAGCAGCTTGAAGAGTTTTTTTCTGGGTATAAATTGCCTATTTGGAATCTTCTTATCCAATCAGGAGCTAAACTCACTACCACAAACACTGAGGACCGCAAATCTCTGTTACATCTTGCCGTAGAGCACTCAAAAGAGTACTTGGAAAAATATCAAGGCCGTTCAGATCCAGGAATTATAGAACCACGCTGTGCCGCCAACTGGTGCGTTCAAATAATCAAGTTTGTTTCAGAACATGATGAAAAGCTGTTGATGTCATTGGATATGTCTGGAAATACTGCTCTTCACCTATGGGCTGGTCATTATTCTCGTCACGCCCCTGAGATGGAAGCTATTGGACAAGCTCTTATTGAAGTGGGCAGCAATGTCAAAGTGAGGAATCACCAAGGAAAGACTCCCTTACACTTAGCTAAATTGTGGAGCGTGGCTGAATTTCTTCTGAAACAGAGATCTAAGCCCAACGTCACTGACTATAACGACCGCACTCCCTTACTATGCAAATGTATCGAAGCTAACCAGGAACCATCACCGAGATTGGAAGAGGTCAGCTCATGGGCACAAGGTATAAACCTTGGAATGGACCCGTGGAAGGAGGACAAGGTTGGCCAGAACGTTTTCAAAGTTTTGATAAAGAACAGTTGTTTCCTCGATTTAGAACGTTTTATTGATGTGGCCATTAACACTAACAGAGAAAGCATTTTCCGAACGGACAACAGGGGTAATACCCTTTTGCATCTTTTATGTAATTGCAACAACTCGAGAGTACTACCTCTGATTGACCTTGTTCTGAAGTTTGGAGTTAAAGTGGATGCTCAGAACAAAGAAGGAGACACGGGGCTCCACATTGCTTGCAGAAAAGAAATGCACCTTCCTCCACGCAAAGGAAACATTTCTGTTCATAAGAGGGTCATTCTTAAGGTTCTTGCTTATGGAGCGCGTAGTGACTTGAAAAACAAAAAAAATACCTCTGCTAGAAACTTGGTGTGGTTGAACAAACGATTGCTTGCAATGCTGAAAAATGATAGACAGCGAAAACAACCTTTACATATGTATCCATGGGTTTCACAGTCCAGCAACCATAAAGAACGACTCTCTATGGTCGCAAGAGGGCAGGATGTTCGTAAGATTGACAACTACTCTTACAGTGGTCCTATTGGCTCTGGTGCGTCAAGTATGGTGTTTGCGGCCATCAATGTTCTTGACGGTAGAGAAGTCGCCCTAAAGAGAATTGAGACGCGCAGCCCAACAACGAGGCAAGCCGATAGAGAAATGAACAGTCTGTTGCAATTATCCAATTCGGATCATATTGTTCAGTATTTCAACATCATTTCGGACACAGACTTTACTTGGATCGTTTTAGAGCTGATGGAAGGCACACTTAATGACCTGTCTTTATTAAATTCCTCTGTGACTAAACTCAGCAAGGATGTTTTGCAAGGAATGGAGTACCTTCATAGAAACAACATCCTACATCGAGACCTAAAGCCGGGTAACGTCCTGTACACCACTAAGCCTAGGCTTCGTCTGAAAATCAGCGACTTTGGACTGAGTAAGAGGGTTGATGGTGGAGAGGGATCCAGCGTTCTCCATAGCAATGCTGGCACCAGAGTTTGGATGGCCCCAGAGCTATTGTCGTCTAGTGGACATCCCCAACACAGTTTTGCGTCGGACATCTTCTCTCTCGGTCTTGTGTTGCATTTTATTCTCGCTAACAAGCGTCATCCATTCACCATAGGGGCAAGTGGCCTCCCAAATTCATTAGCTGAGTGCAACATCGTGGAGACCAACATCACAACTGGCCGCTTGACCTTAAGTCCGGATCTTTCCGACGAAGGCAAGGACCTCCTGGAAATGGTGTTAACAGGCAACAGAGATGAGCGACCGAATGCCTTAGCGGCCCTAAAGCATCCGCTTTTTTGGATTGATGAGACAAAGATTGCATTTATTACTGCCGTGGCCAATCAAAAGGAAATTGGCGAGTACGGCAGAGCAGCCCCATCTCTTGTTGAAAAAGAAATTGAACGTAAAGTAGGGACCATGCTCTCCAGTAAATGGGATCGATTATTCCCGACACTATATGCCGAATTGACATCGAGCGGCAGAGGAAGAAGGTACGACACAAAATCAGGAGTACATCTGATCAGATTCATGAGGAATGCCTACGCTCATGTGTCTGATCGAACCCGTTCAACTGAATTTCAAAAACAGTTACTGACGGATCGAATATTTTTAACCACATTGCCGAAACTTTTTATGATAGTGTTTAACGCAGTAAAGCATGGAAATTGGCATGACTCCCGAGCAGAAATTTCCAAGGTTTTCAATGGTTAAATGCACTGAACCCTGCTGTGATGGATTGCCAAACAATGATAACAACTGTCCTTCCGTCCTCAAAGAAGAGAACAGAAAAAAGCAAACAACTGTTTCAGTTTTCTCAAGAGAACTCAAATTAACCTAGTGACTAGCGACACTTGGGTGTCGAAAACATAGCAATGTAGGCCAAGTTATAAGTTATTTCGTTGACCAGAAATCAACACAAGTTTTACAAAAACTTTTGACATTCAAGCAAACATCTCTTTTAAGATCTAAGTGCATCATTTCTTTACGTTTCGATAATCCCGTGTCAGCGACCGAGTTTGTTTTGCTCTTTCTCATGCAGTTTCTTTGCGTGTTTTTTAGGTGTTGATTTTCACTACAACGTTGGTCTCGTATTTAAGTTCGTCTTCGTCAGTGCCCTTCTAGGTTTCAGTTTCTCCAGTTGTCTTTTTGCCTTTGTTGGTGCCTTTAAGTTTTTTTCAAGTATTTTTCCTGTGAATAATTTACGAATACAACTGTATAACAAGTGGGCAGCAAAGTTTTCTTTTCGTTGAGGTTGGCCCACAACGCCGATTTTAATTACAGGGTTCGTACAAAGTCTTGAATTCTTGAAAAAGTCTGGAAATTTGCGAACTACTTTTCCAAACCTGGAAAAAGTACGGAAATTAAAGGCAAAGTCTTGAAAAATGGGATTAAGTCTGGAATTTTTCTGAAGGAACAACAGGTGTTTAAAAGCTAGCTGAAATCTTTGCAAAGTAGTTGATTTCACTTGAATTAACTTGGCAAACGGCAAAACACTTTATGATAAGAGGCGGTACGGTCGGAGAAGGAGATTGTTTCAAGTCCGAGAGCCCAGTCTCCAATGCCTTGCATTGCATTGTGGTTCATTGTGTTTGCAATGCGTTATACACCGAATGCAAATATGGTGTCCAATTTGAATTGCCATTGTTCTGGACTGACTAGCCTCTCACACATGTAATAATCCTTTTGTGTTTCCACTTGAAGACGAGGCTAGTCAGTCCAGAACAATGGCAATTCAAATTGGACGCCATATTTGCATTCGGTGTATGGTTTATTTGTTTCCCGCGTTAGTCGAGCGAGGGAAGTAATGTTTGTTCGCGTTCATGCACTAGCAGTTGTTCTTCTCTCGCTTTTCTTTTGCTTCGTGATAATGGGGAAGTGTGTCTTTAACGGAAAGTGGAGAGCAGATGAAAAATTTAAGGCCTGGATTGCAGATGATCCTACGTCAAAGACCAAAGCGATGTGTGTTGTTTGCAATAATGCACCTATCAATGGTTTGCCCCAGGATGGGGGCGCTGAGCAACCCATGGGAATTAGAAGTCGTAAAGCGCACGTGGGTGGGGATTTTGACATCCACAAAGGTCTGTGTATAGTCTGCCCATGAAGGTCTGTGGTCCCCAGGGGTGGGAATTTGACTCACAATGGAGACCCAAGTGTGGGGAGATTGACATTTGGAAACCTGAAAATGCCAAATTTCCCGTGAGTTGAAATCGCTTCGCGATTCGTGCGATATCAGTTTTTCGCGTGAAATTTAACGTGGAATTCACTCGTCAGGCAGTAAATTTTTCCATAGAATATATATAGGCTACTATATAGATAATCTCCATTTTATGTTTTCTCGAAGATATTAGCTCCAACAAGCTACTCTAAAATTCGAGATGAAATAAAGTTTATGATTATGAAGATGAGGCATCCAACCACAAAAATTCAAGATTCAAGGCGAGGTTTGCTTTAACGTTAGAATTCGCAAGCTAACTTCTATTTTTTTTAAATTATATCCATTCTTCTATTTTTTCGTGATAACTAGCGTTGGTGGAAAATCATATTAGATCGAAGACCAAGATCTAACACAACTGAGTTTTCTATACAGTTCATTTCAACTCTTTCGTTGGTCTTTATCTTCGTCTAAAATCGTCAAATGGTCTTTGCTTCCTCAAAGCACTGAGCTAATGGCTAACACTAGCTACGGCTCGAAGGCCATGGACGTTGCTACACGGGTCCCTGTATTCCACAACTATACATTCTTGATAAAGCATATCATCCTTTTCTATTCTCAACCAGACAACCAGTTCCGTTGTTCTGTTGTTTAAAAACTTGCCATTCCCAACGCGGCCACTTTGCTCAAAATATGCGCATGACTGTCATGAATTTTGGTGTGACCGCTGACCTCTTGCCAGCACAAACTGGAATCAACCTAAATTATGAGTGGAAAGATGAAAACAAAATGTTACCACAACTGGCAGTTATGTCGCAATCTGATTCACCAATTTGCCGTTGTCGATAAGATAAGAGACAACGCTGCTTGCGTCAACCTGTCACGCAGCCTGTCACGTACTGAAAGAATCGATTTATTTGACGTCGGTGTGGTGGTAAAAAAACAAATCGGCAGTGGTCTAGCGTTAAGTTGCTGACTCACCTGGCTGCGCCTCGTAAGTCCGCAACATTTTGACCACCATGATGACGAAATATCGTTGTCGATAAAAGTACAGACTACGCTAAACCACTGTCGATTCGTTAATTATTCGGAAGGAGTTGTTAACATGAACCTTTGACTCTTCCTTTTAAATGATAACTTTTAAGGCATTGATAAGTTGTCTCTTTCTTACTTAAAGGCCAAGCCGAATAAAAAAC